TGAGCCAACGATTCTCCCGCAGTGACACCTCTCATGGGCGCTAATGAGATCCATGTCACAGAGCTAATGCGCTCTGACTAGACTCCTGATAGACACCCCACTCCTTCAGGGGAGACCACAGGCCAGTGCTGTCCTCCTGGGGCCAGACCCCCAGCCTGCCAGCCCAGATCTCTTGCCAAACTGTGCTGGGCAACAAACTCCTGAGAGAGCCCACTTGTTGCCTGGGCATCCTGGCTTACCCTGAGGCTCGGATGGACCTTCCTCAGTCCCTGAGCAGAGGGGTTGAGCAACCAGGGCAGGACCACCCAGCTGGGCATCAGGGAAGGCTCCAGTTACTCTCTCAGCCAGCTGAAAGCAGAGGTGTATGAGGCCTCCATGTCCCAACAACTGATGAGATTTTACTAACATTTCCTGTGCAGATTTCAAAAGAAAAAAAGAAGAAAGCAGACCTGGGTCTTGCCTTTAGAGAGGCCAAGTAGGTGGGGCCTGATCATCACCAAACAAATCATAATCAGGGCCTAAAGGTGTGTTCTGTACACACGCACTGGGAAGGCCAGGCCAGGCTCCCCGAGGAGGTGGCCAGTGGCAGCAGACGGGTAGGTTTTCCTGAGTCAAGAGGTGGAGAACACGCCCTCCTCACAGAACGAGAACTGCCGGGGTCAGAAGGAGGTCAGGAGGTCAGAAGCCAATGGTCGCAGGGCCCTGGCTCTGAGCATGACTGCAGCAGAAGTGAAGGGACGGCAATGGCTCCTTCCCTTCCTTCCCCAGTTGCTGCTACTGAAGCTTTGTCAAGGCCTGTGTCTTTCCCGTGACACTGAGGAAATGAGGGAGGTGAGCTTGTTTTCTCCCTCATCGTCTCCGTCACCAGCATAAAGCCTGACACCAAAAAGGTACTTCCAGTTCAGCACAGTGGTAAGAAGGCAGACTTTGCATTTAGACAGATCTGGGTTTGAATCCTGACTCTTCGATTCGACTGGCTGTGTGACCTCAGGCAAGCCACCAAACTAATTAAGCTTCAATTTCCCAAATAGAAAATGGGTATGATGGCACCTGCCTTCACAGTACTGGTGTGACAATTAACTTAGTTAACATACAGTGCTTGCTGACCCCTGGCTAAAATGAAAGGACCGCAGCACTCAGCAGCCCCTGGTGGAGGATAGAGCCCCATCAACAGCCAGTTCTACCCACATGTGGTCCTTCCTCGCCCACAACCGGCTCCAACACCACCCTGTTCGCCAGGCTCGCAGGGCCAAATCCACTCCCTGAGGTGCAGAGTGTCTCTGCCCTGCCCGAAAGGCCATGCTACCAGCCCCAGCCCCTGCCCTCCCAGAGCTGCAGCGCCTCCGTCACTGCGCCCTCTCTGTCACGAGTCCTGGGCTGTGCCTGTGAGCTCAGCACTGTGCCTGTCATCTTTACTGTATATTTCTGTACTTATCACAGTTCCTGACACATAGTAGGTGCAAGGTCAACGTTCGCTGACCTGGTCCCGACTCCATTCTCTCAGCCACTGCTGGCACTGAATTGAGCATCACCTCCACGCACCCCACTGTACCTCCCGTCTGCAGTTTCTCCTCACTACTCTTCCACGCACACTCTCTCTGGCCGTTCGGACTGAAGCCCAGCTCTGACCAGGTCACTCCTCTGCCCGAACATGCCCACATCCCCCCTCACACAGCTCAGCCACCCCGTTCGTGCCAACAGCCCCTCCACTTCTGTAGCTGGACCTCGCTGCCCTCTCATCAGCCCGTCCCTCCAGTCTGCCTGGTCCCTGCCTCTCAGCAGCTCTGCCACCCAATGCGCAGCAGAAGTCCTCGCCAGGCGGGCCCACAGGCTCCCCCTGCCACACATACCTTAGAGAGAGGCTCAGGATCATTGGTGGGACTAGTGTCATCGGTGATGTGCACACTGAGCCACTGCTACCTCCATGGCATTGTGGGAGAACGAAGCAGATCCTGGAGATGGCTAAGCCGTGGGATCGGTGGAGCCCTTGCCCAGCATAACCAATGCTGCCTCACCCCCAACCCCCAATATACATACCACTCCCCACTCCGGGCTGGCAGCTCCTCACACAGTTAATTAGCACCATGTCACTGAGGACCAGTCTGAGTGGCCAGTGACAGGAGCTGACCCCTGACCCCAGGGCTGGGAAATAGTCCACATCAAACTCTTACAGCGCGACCCTTTTAGCACGCACAGTAACTCGGGGCACTGGCAGCTGAAGCTCATTAAAGCTGTCTCTTTGGAGCGAGGGCCATTAACCTCACTGCTCAAAACCCACACCTCCCATCCCCGCCTCTCCCGGCCCAATTAATGCCCTGCATCTTCCCTCCCTTCCAAGCACCCTCGCCCACACCTCAGAGCCAGCCAGGAGCTGGCAGGGCAGCCCTCTTCATTCAAAAATACAAAGACCAAACCCCAGAAACCACCAGTGTCCTTGAGTAACCACTGTGTGCTGGGCACCTCATGAGCCCTTCACACAGCTGACATCACCGACCATCCCAACAGCCCGAGGGAGGGACCGTGGCACTGTCCCTCATCTAAGGTTATGGGGCTCTGGGTCACAGAACCAGAACTTCTGGCTCCAAAGCCCTCACTCTGTTGTCACTCAGCCTTGGGCTGTCCCTTGGGTCCACTCAGATGGAAAAACTTTCTTCTATGGAGAAGGAAGGAACGCTTCAGAGGTCCTAGCCCAGAATCAACACGTGTGAAGAGACAAGAGAGGCACCATCGAGTCCCAGGAGGCAGGAAGGAGTGGAGGCCCGGACCCCTTCCTTTCAGAAACACCCGGGACAGATACAGGAAAGCAGGGCACCCAGCTGGAGGCTGTGCAGGGCGAGTTAACCCAGCCCCGTTGGTTCCGCCCACCGGCCAGACTCGATGACAGGCGATTCCTCCTGCCCTGGGCCAGTGCAAGTCCTCTCACTGGTCCTCATTCTCTGGTCTCTCCCTTCCCCATCACGTTCATTGACTCATCTGCTCACTTGTTCTTTCATTCACTGTCTGATTGACTTTATTGAGCACTTGTTAAGAACGAGTTTGTGCAGCACGAAGTGCCTCAGTGATTCTGAACCAGAGCTCCGACTGTCGTTCTCTCGCTCACAAACGCCCCGTCTCATCGAAGCCTCATGAGAAGGAAGCTGAGGGGAACAGGTGCATAAACGGTGGTGGAAGGAGACTTGCCCTGGGGTGGCGAATGCACAACATAATATACAGATGGTGTATGACAGAACTGTACACCTGAAACTATGTAATTTTACTAATCAGTGTCACCCCAATAAAGTCAATGAAAAAGAAAAAAACCTCAAAAGAAATTCACCGCCTCCCCGTCACCTGGCATTCAAGGCCCCCTTACTTCCCTGTTGACTTCCTAGCCATTCCCTGACCGAAAGATCCCACTCCAGTCACTGGAAACTATCTGTAGACGTCTGGGTGTGTCCTCTCAACACGCTAGGCTTCCTCACGCCTTCAGGCTTTATACGTACACTCCCCCTAAAAAGAAAACCCTTCCTGATTTTTTTGCCTAGCAAACTCCTCCTATTCACTCTTCGAGGATCCCCTGCCTCCTGTCCTCTTCTCTAGGAAATACACTGCCAACCTCCCAGACATGCTGTTCACCTTGCTAGGTTTGGGGTCCCCTCTAGATTATGGAGGACAGCAGCTGCAAGGGAACAGCAGTTGCTGTGGGGTACTCCCAAATTCCTCAGGCCCATCGGCTGCTTCTTCTCCCCCGCCCAACAAGAATGATACAGGGCACCCAAGAAGTCTATGAGACGTAAAGGAAGGAGTAGAAGCCACCTTGGCAACTAAGAACACGGAGACCTCCCTGGAGGCAGCCCAGTTGTTCCTGTCACTGCCCTTAGTGCCCTGGGTGTCAAACACCCAGTTCAGTCTCCTCCCAGGAGGCGAGCTCCCCGAGTACAGGAACTTCTACTCAGCATGCGCAGCACCCACCGGGTGTCTGTGGAAAGGATGAGGGGCTCCATCGATAGCCAGCACAGGGTATCATGCCATCCCCTCCCCTCAACCTCTGATACCTCCCCAAAGGTACACAGGTGAGGGTAACGTCATAGTGCCACCCACGAGTACCCTTGTTTCTCCCTCCTTGGAACAAAGCCTATGCCTGCTTGAAAGCATTTGCGTGCACGTGTTTGCATACACACACTAAATAAGAAACACAGAATGACATACTTTCTGATGGGTACACACAGAGCTGACAGTTGCTTCCATATATAGACATGTGCCTTCATAAAAATATACACAGATAGACTGTCACACACACGCACATCCCTTAGATGTACACAGCACACAGACACATGTGCACCCTTAGACTACAGCTGACGTTGTCAGACCCATACACACAAGCTCACTTACGGACACGTATCCATCCTTACAGATCAGAGGCCAGCAGAGCCTCCCATGCCTAGAACCACGGCCACTCTAGCCCCCTCCCAAGCAGTAATCCCCCGGAGGGTACACCCCCACCTGGAACCCCAAGTGGCCCCTCCCAACCCAGGCACCGCTCAATGGAGGCTGCTACTCCTGCGGGGGAGTCAATACCCTGTGGACGGAGCCATCGGTCAGAAGGACCCCGACTAATTAAAAGCTGGCGAGGTTTAAATAATTCATCTCCTTAACTCCCATTGATCGCCCAGTTTAGTGGCCACAGACTTGAAACAATATTAAACAGTCTCCTCCAGCTCCACAGGGGGTAGGTAAGCTGACATATGCCCACCCCCCCTAGGACATCACCCACCAGAGATGCAGCTGGGGGCAGGGGTACCTTGGCTTGAGTCCAAGGCCCAGAACCCAGCCTCCTCCTAAATACTGTTTTGAGACTCCCTTTCCAATGGTTTGGTTCCACTCTCCCCTTACTCCACCCACTTTCTCTGCTCTCCCCAGCTTCAGAGAGCACCCTGTTAGAGCGCTGAAAGAGCCACAGAACCCCTCTGTGTACCAGGGGACTGGGGCATGCAGGCAGAGGGACATGTGGAGGGACTGACCAATGCCGCTGTGGGGCCGGCCTATGTGTTGCAGGCTGAGGCCCTTGTTCATGTCTAGAAGTCCATTCTTGGGCCAGCAGCCCATGGCGAAGCTGTAAGCCTGGAAGACAGGAGGCAAGAATGGTTAACAGGGGCCCTGACCCCTAAACCAACCCCATCACTCACCTTCCCCCCACCAGATCTTCCCCCCAAGGGCTTACTCTCATCATGCCACCTTATGAAAGTCCCTTCACTGGGCCCCCTTTCCACCAGAAAGCCCCTTCCTCCTCCAGACCTCCCTTTCTCCTGAGTGTCTCCCCATCGGAGGCCCCTGGCCCTCCCTGGATGCCGCCTCACCCAGAGATGTCCTGTTTACTAAGACCCTCCTTGTCAGGATCCCTCTTCTCACCAGGGTATCTGTCCCCTTTACCTTTATATCCCCTCCTCTCCAGAGTCCCCAGCACTCTGCTGGACCCCCTCCCCACAGTGTCACTGGTCACAGAGACGGGCGTCAGAAAGGACTTGCAGACCAATGTATTCAAATTTCACAGACAGGAAAACCAGAGTGAGAGGGGCCAACCACCTGCCCATGGTCGTTTCTTCTGAACCAGAGACAGGCGAGCTGTGGAAGGCTGAGCGCCATATGGGAGGCTCGGGTGAGGAGGGGTAAGGTCACCTGGTTGATTCAAGCAGCTGTGAGGGGAGCACATGAAGGGGTGTGTGTGTGTGTGTGTGTGTGTGTGTGTGTTAGGGGAAGCAGATCTCTGCTGAAGGTCAAGTGCTCACTTATGCATATTCAAAGCGGCCAACCATCGATCTGTACTTAATTGTTTTCCTGGGGTTGGGGAAGGAAGTGCTGGGGGCATCGATCTGCTCAGACCCCCAGCACTTCGCTGCCCCCTCCATCCCCTACTCGTGTCACCTGGCTGCAGCCCACCTCTGTGGGAGGTTGGGGGTAGGGTACACAGCAGGACAGGGATGGCACCCTCTCTTACAGTCCCTTACAGGCATGATGACTTGATGTCATAGGTGAGGAAACTGAGATCCAGAAACAAGAAACACACAAGGGTTGGAACACTATTAAGTGGCCCAGCGGGAATTCAATTCCTGCTCAGCCTGTTTGCAAAGTCCTGGGCTTTTTCCAATGGTGGGCTCACGCAGCTAGCTGACACTGCAAACATTACCCATCCCCTCACCTTAGAAGTCCCCAGATACCAGGCTGCCCTTCCCCCAGTGGCAGGAAGCATGTGGGACAGCGGTCAACAGGAATGAAGGTTGGGTGAGTCCCCAGAAGTTGGGTGACGAGTCCACTGGTGACACTAAAGTGAGACTGCAGCCATGGTCGCACAGGCACTAAAGTGCCCCCTGCCCATCACTGGGCCCAGGAGGTCCCCATCTCACTCCTTCACAAGGGAGAGAGCTCAGCACAGGACCAGAAACAAAGGACGGGAGTCTGTGCCAGGGCCAAGGAGCTGGGCAGAGAGCTAGCACCCTTCATTCCCAGCTTCGGGAACCCAGCCTCGGCCCCACAGCCACTGAAAGGAAGGGGGCCAGTGTACTTCACCCTCAGCACCCTCCAAAGCTATTTTCCTTGACCACAGAGGTACTAGCCACAACCCAACTTCCCAGCCAACCCCCTCAACCCCTCCCCAGGTCCCAGCCCCAGGTCCCAGCTGCAACCACAAATTGGGAGCTGAGTGTGAGACTCGAGGACAGGGGAGAGGTCGCTGGCCAAGGCAGAGCTGGGAGAACACAGACAGGGAGGGAAAGCAGCCAGTGGGTGGTGCACAGCTGGAGAAGCTGCTAAGCATGGTCAGGGCCATGGCTGGGGTGCAGTGGGCCAGAGAGCAGCCACGGGCCGGCTTTCAAGTACTTTAAAATCACTTACAAAGGCCGGATTAAACGATCAGAAATTCCATTTAATAGGACAAATAAAGAAATAACAATCTACTCTATCAGCCTGGAGAAGGCGAGCAGGGTGGTTTTTTTTTCCCCTCTAAAAAGGAAAAAGGGAAGGAAGGGGAAAAAAGAAGGATAATGTGTGTTTACTCAAGCAAAGAAAAAAATATTTAAGTGATGTCGGGGAGAAGATTGCAGTAACTAGTGAAGAATAACATCGTCTACTTTGCTGTCAAATCACACCCGAATTTCAGTAATAGATTCTCGGCTGACACTCAATTCAATTCGAAGGTGATCCTGCTTTATCCCAGCCCATCAAATATTAAACACTTGCATTAGCAGGTGCTGCCGCTTCCCGGCTTAAAGCAGCGGGCGGCAGGGCTGCTGAGGCCCCCTGCTCTGCTCTTAGCTCGGGGACAGGGCAGCTCAACTGTTATCTGTGCGTCATCCTGAGCCTTATCTCAGCTAAGCGGGAAGACCACTTCAGATAACATTAGATGCTTGCCCCAACGAGCGTCAGCATGATTAGATTATTATTATAATAATGACTCCCCAAGAACTTCCCCAGACTGTGATGAGTGAACGGGGGTGGAGGACGGCAGGGCCCTGGAGGACCAGGCTGGACGGAGGAGAGCCAGAACCCATGGTGAAAAAGCAGGGGCACCAAGCAAGGTGGCAGCGGGGTCCTGCCTGACAAACGCCTTTCAGGAAGGGCAGTCTAGCTTGTCAGAGCGAGGGCGAGATGAATTGGCGTCTCCACCGTGGCCACGGGTGTCGTGCTACACAGTTTCATATTCCCAGATAAGGCGTGATAACCAATTGTGGCCGTGACATGGCTTCATGCAGCACTTCCTCGAGGTGGGGGGGGGAGGGGTAACACACACACATAGGTCTGCCAAGCTCCTAGTAAGAGGGATTTAATTTTTACAAATGCTGCTTCCAGCGGGACCATCACATACCAGCCAAAGTCCAAAATGATATTAAAAATGGTTAATTAAAACTGCTCTCCTTCAGCCTGGGCTCTTTCCCTACTAACCCTGCTGAGACCTGGGATGTCTCCTCCAGGTATGGCCACACACCCCTGCAGAGCTGAACCATCACACATGAGCACCAGTCTCACGGAGCCCTCCAGGCACAGTACAGCAGACCAGCACCTCAAGCTCCCCTGGCCACCCTGAGTGCCCCTCAGACACAGCCAGCAGACAGAGAGCCAACCCAGAGAACACAGGGTCCTACAGCAACCTGTGCTCCTACTAATGTGTGGTCTGGACCCTTTCGCCTGCTGCCCGCTATACCTGTACCCACATGCCTACCACCCCAGCACTCACTTCTAAAGACCCTGCTCTCCCCGCAGATAAATACACCATCAAGCATGTATACCATACAGTGTGCCCCTCCTCCCATTTTCCACTCCCTCCCAACATCCTCCCTAAGACATTACATCCATCCAGGATTCTTAGCAGAGCCTTCCTGGGAATACAGCTCAAGGAGAGATGATGTGGGCTCTCTCAGTTTCTGGCCAAGGCAAGCCTGGGACCCAAGGAACCATCAAAGCATAATAATTGAGGAAGGCTGTCTCCTGTGGGCTGCCCACGGGGACAATGGAGACAGATGGGCCCGTGTCAGACTGGAGGTGGTTAGGAAAGTTTCCTGGAGGACACCAGATGGAAAACATGGCAAGGGCCAAGGAGAAGGACAGGAGCAAGCTTGGTCAGTGCACAGGCAAGAGCTCGGGCATTGCTGGGGCAGCCAACACGGACAGGAGTCAAATCTTGAGGTGCTGCCTCCCAGCTCTGTGCAAACTGGCATCAACTGAAGTGCCCTTTCCCCCCACTTGCTTCCTATCCCCACTCTCCCTTTCTCGCTTCTGCCATCCTGTGGGGTGTCAGGGTAAGGGACTCAGAAGCTTTCTGACTTTGATCAGTGTGGGGCAGGGATGCTTTAAGACCTCTCATCAAGACCCGTGTCTGAGCCCCTTTTCCATGCTGGTTCCAAATTCTCTGGGTGCCCCTGTGCCAGCTGCACTTCTCCCAGCCATCGGGGCCCACCTGATGGGTCTCTGACCAGAGGGCCAGCAGGTAGAAGGATGTCTCAGGAGCTCAAGCCCCAGTTGGGGCAGGAGGAATTGGGGTGAGAGACACTGGTCTACCAAACTGCGCCATCCCAGCCCTACGCCAGGCAGGCACGCACACTTCCCTTCCCCTGAGCTGCTGCAATTTCCATGCGCAGGGAAGCAGGTGCCGAGCTGCTCCCGGCTGGCTCTCCCCTCTCGTGGCTCTGCCCGCCTTGGCTGCTGCCCCATTAGCTTAGTGGCCAGCCATCTGCGACGGGCCTGCCACGCAGCCCTGCTGTAGTCGCGGCGGGTGGCCCCCTGTGTAACAGGGAGCTTTGCCATTAGCGCCTTTAATATTCTGACACCTCAGCACAGCCTGCTATTACATGCAAACGCTGATCGCCCTGTGAAATTACATTGCTGGGCCCGCGAAATGGAATCGTGTATAATCAGCCTCCTCCATGCACTGTCAGTCCCATCACAAACACGGCGCCCGGCGGCTTACGGGGGCTTAGCAGCTGCGACAAGTGTATTGGGTTTAATAGATGAAGTAGCCCTCATCGGCAGCAGCATCAGATTCTTCAGAGGAAAGAAGAGGCATCGACAGCTGCTGGGGTATCTCTGCCCACCCACTCACTACCTGGCAGGGCCTTGAGCGTGGGGTGGACACAGAGTGGGCAGGGCAGCGGTTGGAGCTAGAGCCCCACTGAGAATGCAGAGAGAAGCACAGACTGCCCTGCAGCTTCCAGAAACCCGGAGCTCCCAAGCCGACAGCAGCACATCCGATCTACCCAGCCTCTCCACAAGTTGGGGAGGAACAGACCTTTAACCAGAGCCCTGGTGACCATCACCCTCTGGGCCATTTCCCAAGCTGAGGAACTGATCAAACCATTGCTATTCCCATAACCACCCAACAGACAGAGCGCTAAACAGAACCCTAAACAGGGTTCTCTGGAGGACGGGGGAGAGAGTCTGACGGACGTAACCATCACCTGACCTTCCTATCTAACTGGCCAACACTGCCGTAGCCACAGTACCTACACCACAGGTCAACACAAGGAGGGTACGCCTGGGAGCCCAGTCTTACAGAAAGGCGGTGCCTGCGGCTCGTGAGTCAGACAAATCACGGGCCGGTTCCCAGTGCTGCCAGTCATCGGCACTGTAACTTT